CGAGAGGCGCTCCCCACGCGGTGGGGGACCGGGTGGAGCGCGCCGGAGTCGCCGCTGCCAGCCGCGCGCCGCCCTGGGGCCTCTCTTCCTCTGGGGACACTTGCGCCAGTTTCTAGGTGCCCTAGGCTCAGGACACTCCCTAATCATGGAAGAAACGGAAAGTAATGTCATTTTACTGAGTGAATTTTGGATGCAAGTAACCGACTGAATAGTTTGAGGAGACTTTGAATATCGCGTTTGTTTATTAACGTCCTGCACGTCGTTATCTTGAGCGCGTACCCATTGGCACAACTGACAGCGTGACCCACTGGTTGGGGTTTTCTGGGACTTTCCGTTTTTATCCCTAAAAGTCATGCGTCCTTAGACTCGCCCGCCCCCTTTGACTCAGGCACCCCGGGAAGGTTGGTGACCTCGTTTGTTACCTGTTTCCAGTCTGGGTGTAGGATGTGGTCATAAGACCAGGACAGAGACTGCAAACCTGTGAAGCTGATTGGAGCCTCTGACCTAGAAGTATTTACACGACCGAAGATGGTCCAGGTGGCTAAACACACGGAAAGAAAACAACGCTGTTAACACCAGGCAGGACTTTTGAAAACGCACAGCTATTTCGGATGACAAAATAGTGAATGGGGAGGCAGGTTAACCTAGTGGTCAGGAGAGAGTTCTGGGTTCCAGTCAAATCAGGCACCACCATCACTAGCTGTTCCATATCCGTAACTCTAACCACGTGTCCTGAGTTAGCAGGAATAGTAGCTTTTACCCCGTGTTTGTAGGGGGATTACATCTAGTAAATGCCAGCTATTGTCAAGCCTGGGTATTAGCGTATTCTCACTGAATGCTTTGCACTACTTCCTCGTTTTGCTTGATATATATGAAGAGAGAAGTTTGGGTTTTCTTGAAAAAATGTTAATACAGTGTTCACTCAAAAAAACATAAAAAAGAAGTAAAAAATAAATGTTCAATAAAATGAGATTGTAAATCCAAAACTACTTGATTTAAAATTAGGGAAAGATATGGACTATAACTTCGTGTTTCTATAAAAGTTTCAAGTATTAAGTTGAGTTTAATCTTCTCTACTGAATATAATAAAATTTAACTTTATTAAATTCACACGAATTATGCTTTTGAAATTACCCTTGACCTACAAGAGATTTAGCTGTGGGCAAGTGAAAACTATATATAGTTATGTATTTGTTTCAACCAGATGAGCACCTATAAAACAGGTAAGTATACCTAAATCTTATAAATGCTGTGTGTGTGGGGGGGAGGGTGTTAATATTTTTGGCTAACTTCTTAAAATAGAAATTTTTGTTGATGTGTTAGGGTTGTAAAAGAACAGATCTGTCTAAAACCTTAGAGATCCAGGATTCTTCAGGATAGATGGAGGCAGCGTCTTTTTTTCGTCCGTATCTTCTAGTGCCAAATATGGAAGGTGACCAGGGGTGTCTACTACTACAGTCCGCCCCCTAGTCCTATTGCCAAGGCCTTCTGGGTAGCGGGGGGTGTCTTCTCTTCTTGTTACATGAGTACTGGTACTGCTAACTGACCAATGCCTTAACTTCCTCTCTCTCACTGCCCTCTTCTAACTCATAAAATAAGGTTTGTTTTGCAGCAAATCCAGTCAGACCAGGTCTGCTACTTACAATCCTTGAAGCTCACTCTGGGGCTCATTCCTTGGCAGTTGTAGAGTCCAGGGGTTGCGGTTCCTGCTGCGTCAGTGCAAAATGACAGTCCCTGCCGCCCTCTCCTGCCCTGAAGCCTGGATTCCTTATTTCCAGTCTTATTTACCTACTGTCTTAAAATACTTAATGTTTTCTGTACTCGTGTCCTAACCTTTGGAAGTATTTTAAAAACCTAAGCCAGGTCTTCATCTCTTTCTTTGTCCTCCTCGTCTCTACCCATTCCACATCTGGTAGAAGTGATTTCTCTCCTGTGTGCTCGAGGGACTTTGTATCTTTCTTTAGCACTTACCACACTGCACTTGGTTTACTTGTTTAATGTATTCCCAGCCCCCACCCAAATGTTCTTGAGGAAGGGAACATCATTTTAATTTTGTTTTCCTCCTCCCTAGTATGGTGTCCTATACATAGTAGAGCTTTAATAAATATTGGCTGAAGGATCATTGGTTAATTTCATTATTTAAAATTGTTTAAAGATCTAATTGGCTTTATTAAACGATTCATGAACTCGGCCACATCCTGTCTAGCAAATAGAGGGGCACCCCTGTTGGCTAATTCTTAAGAAAATAGAAAATATATTCTGAAATAAAAATAAAAATACATTCTATTTAATCATAATTATTTTGGAATCATCTTAACATATGGATTGTTTAGGAAATTAAATATCACTTGAAAATACTCCTTTATTCAGTGAGTATTTGTCTACTAAATAAGATCTGATCTGTGAACATTTTAAGATACAGCCCCCATTTTCAAGATTTTCACAATGGGAGCAGGAAACAGAGAAGCATGCATTTATCAAAGTGCTTTTAATGTATAATTGGCTATTAAAGACATCATTGGAGGGCGCCTGGGTGGCTTAGTCAGTTAAGCATCTGCCTTCAGCTCAGGTCATGATGCCAGGGTCCTGGGATGGAGCCCGGCATCCGGCTTCCTGCTCATCAGGGAGCCTGCTTCTCCCTCTCCCTCTGCTGCTGCTTCCCCTGCTTGTGCTCTCTCTGTCAAATAAATAAAATCTTTAAAAATAAATAAGACGTCATTGAAGTTTGTTCACAGGATAACAGATAAAATGTTTAAACACTATGGGCTAAACTTTTGAATGTTTCCTCTGAAAATGTTATTGACAGTGGTACTGAAATCTGGATTCTAAAATGTTCAAGAAGAACCAAATTCCTATTAGAATCTAAGTTAGTGGTTTCTTTTTCTTTATTAGACGCTCTTCCTTCCGTCCAGAACCAGATCCTTATTGTCAAGCTAAATACACATTCTGTCCAACTGGCTCACCTATCCCAGTTATGAAAGGTGATGATGTCATTGAAGTCTTTCGGTTACAAGCCCCAGTATGGGAATTTAAATATGGGAACCTCCTGGGACACTTGGTAAGGCTGCATCTTGATCTTATAACTTGGGTTAATTAAATGATTTATTAAGTGGATTTGAGGGAATAATCGCTGTGCAAAGGGCTGATTTGGGATAATGTTTAATTCGTGTTCTTGGCATGTCTAAAATGAGTAGTCAGTGGGGCAGCTGGGTGACTCAGCTGGGTAAACATCTGACTCTTGGTTTTGGCTCAGCTCATCATGATCTTGGGGTCATGAGATCCAGCCCTGCCTGGGCTCTGTGCTTGGGGGCAGAGTCTGCTTGAGATTCTCTCCCTCTCCCTCTGCCCTGCACCCCCCTCTTGAGGGCACCTGTGTGCTTGCAAGCTCGTGCGTGCTCTCTCTCTCTCTCTCAAATAAGTAAATAAATAAAATCTTTAAAATGAGTAGTCAAAAAAATATTACCATAGTTTATGATCCTGACAGTAACAGATGCAGTTGCTTTAATCCATTTTGATATTCTGTATCCGTACCCAGCTCCTGGAAAGTAAGAAAGGAGAAGGCCTGGGGAAGGGGCAAGGTAGGCAGGAAACACTTCACCTCCAGTCCCTGCTGCACACTTCCTAGGTTAGCTCACCATTTGAGCCTCTCATCCCCCTGTGAAGTATATAGACTTCCTGAGACTGGCACGGAGCTTCTTGAACCCATTCTAAACTTAAGGAAATTAAGAGCATGTCCATATAGCAAACATCCTTACTATCTGAGATAGGCAGCAGTCAAAACCAGAGTGGAGGAGGGCCTGGACTTTGAGGAGCCACAGGGTGGACACAGGAATAGCAATGGCTGAGCAGTTGCTGTAGTTGATACACAGTCGTGGTGTATTACATTTTCTCCCATTTGGTTCCTGGGCCAGTGGTTCCTTCACAAGTGCTTTTATACTTGTATGATCTTTACACAGAAAATTATGCATGATGCCATTGGATTCAAGAGTACTTTAACTGGCAAGAACTACACAATGGAATGGTATGAACTTTTCCAACTTGGAAACTGTACATTTCCCCATCTCCGACCTGAAATGAATGCCCCTTTCTGGTGTAATCAAGGAGCTGCCTGCTTTTTTGAAGGAATTGATGATAGGCACTGGAGGGAAAACGGGACGTTAGTTCTAGTAGCAACCATATCAGGTAAGTTTCAAAAATATGGCAGTATTTAACAATTGCATCAATATCCATATGAAAAAAAATTACTTTCATGGAGGCATTTCATTCATGTTCTGCTCTTTAGAGGTCAGTTTACAAAATGTACTTCTGGAAGCAATAACTTTTGACCCAGACTATTGCTCATGCCAAGCGTCACCTTTAGATGATGAGTAGTGTATCTCCTCTATTCCATGGTGAAATATGAAGGAAATGATAAAATGTTTTCTGCAACTAAATTGGACTTTCTAAATAAAATAGTGGAAGAACATCCACAAAACGCCTGATAAAATAACTGATTAAAGGTGCTGTTAACCATATCTGGAAAAAGATTTTCAGTGATGATACCTTGTTTTTATGTCAAGAAGTAATAGCTACCGCTTATGGGTTCTTACTCTGGGCCCAGCAGCGGTTCCAAGTGCTTTATCTATATCATTTATCTATACATCGTTTATCATCACAAACCCCCCCCCCAAATAGTTACTGTTATTCCCCACCACTACCATTTTACAGATGGGGAAACTGAAGCACAAAGTGCTTAAAGTCACACAGCTAATAAATAAGTGGGACTCCAACCTTGGCACTGAAGCCCTATTGACCATTTTCTTAACTACTTCGCTACATTATTTTCCAAAATATTCACAGTCTTATGGATTTGAGGCTCCTCAGGCAATTGAAATATTTTCTCTCTAAGATTTTCTGTTCTTTTGGATGTATTGGAAAGTTGCTGAAACACTTGGAATTTTGCTGCATGTGTAGCGTTGTTGGATAGTGATGAAGAAAGTTCAGAACTGGGCGCCTGGGTGGCTCAGTCGTTAAGCGTCTGCCTTCGGCTCAGGTCATGATCCCAGGGTCCTGGGATCGAGTCCCGCATCGGGCTCCCTGCTCCATGGGAGGCCTGCTTCTCCCTCTTCCACTCCCCCTGCTTGTGTTCCCTCTCTCACTGTCTCTCTCTCTCTGTCAAATAAATAAATAAAATCTTTAAAAAAAAAAAGACAGTTCAGAACTTTTACCAGAAACTGGTATGTGACCTTGGGTGACATTTTACTTTATCGACTCATTACCCCATTGTAGAATGGGGATGAGACTGCCATTGCATCCTAGAGGTAGGGAGCTTGCCCATATGATTCATAGAGCTCCGCATTATAATTGTTGTTCCCAAGAAAGCAGAAATAATCTGGAATGAAAGCCCTGTTTGTGGTAAGAATTCTTCAGTGAACCACAGGCCTTGAGGATGTTATCATGCTTTCCACTTGGATAACTCTGCACAGCATTTTGGAGCATGTTATCTCACAGTTCAGTGAGGAGAAAACACTCTTCTTCCTTTTATAAGTAAGGAATTGAGGGTCAACCAGGTAGAATGACTTACCAGTCTCTTCAAGTCACAAATCTGGTTGTAGAACCAGGAATCTTCTAACTGTACACCATGCTGTTACCTGATCTTCCTTCCTACTTTCTAATTGATGTGCCCCCAACCATTCCAACAATATCAAAGTCCATTTCTCTTTTAACCGTGCTCAGTGTTCATACTCTTCATTCCAGGCCAGTTCACATTTCTCCTTTCTCTGTCCACCTATCTCATTATCTGAAAATTCTTTCTGACATCAGTGTACGATATGAACAAGTGATCATTATTTCATGTAAAATATTTTTTAATATGCTAGTGCCTAAATCTTTCCAGTTACCCATCTGCTTTGTGATTAATCCTGTTCACTGATATTTTCTCATGTTACAGAAGTGTTTTGAAGTATTCTCAATTACAGCAGTGACTTTTTAAAGTTGAAGAACACTAAGAACAGTATCCCCAGTTCTAAGAAAACAGGCTTTATATTATTCCACAACTTTAATTCCATGAAGTTGATCAAAGCAGCCACTCTTCATTTTATAGGACACAAAGTATTGATTTCATGGACTCAAGTTGGAGCACTTAAGAAAGGTTCACACAAGGTGACAAAGTGAAATGTTGGGGCCAAGCTCTATTAGGCATTGTAAATGAGGTTGTAACCACACAAAGTATGGTGCTTTGTTAACTTTTGGAGAGATTCCTCTGGTCTGGTACAAGGTGGTAGGAGAGTGTGAGCCGTTCCAGAATCTGTATAGTGCACAAACGTGGCCAAAAACATTTCCAGTTTAGTTGCTTCATTGGAAGAATTTGTATGGTTAGTGGGAAGGTTGTAAGCAGAATCCCACCAGCTGCAAGTATAGAGAGAAAGGGAAATATCAAATACTCAAGGAGGATAGGGTATAGTAAGTACTTTTCTCTTGTAACATGAGTAGGCCAGCCTTCTAGAGTAGCAGCTCCCCTGGCTGCCATTCATACTGTGTGGGCACCGTGCTGTGTGACAGAAAAGCTCTGCATTTCCTCTCCTCCATTCTTAACACGCCTTGGCCCCATTCACTTTTACCTCTTCCCCAGTTTTTTTCCTGGTTTTCTCTCTTTTGCCTCTGAATCCAAGATTTGTTGAGTGGGGTAAAGAAAGAGGGCTTCTAGGGTGCCTGGGTGGCTCAGTCGTTAAGCATCTGCCTTCAGCTCAGGTCATGATCCCAGGGTCCTGGGATTGAGCCCCGCATCGGGCTCCCTGCTCTGCGGGGAGCCTACTTCTCCCTCTCCCACTCCCCCTGCTTGTGTTCCGTCTCTTGCTGTGTCTCTCTCTGTCAAAATATAAATAAAATCTTAAAAAAAAAAAAGGGCTTCTGCATGTGTATAATTTTGCTTTTGACTATACCTTAAATGATTGTAGAATTGGTATGTAAGACTTTATACACCTGTTGTAGCTAATGTTTACAATTCAGAAATACCTTGTAGCTTGAAAAATAGAATAAAAATTAGCTGAGCTTGGATTCCTATCGTGAGATACAGGTTTGGAACTATTACTATAAATAATAGATAAATAATAATAAAAACTATTATTTATTCATGGCCTTAATCATCAGGTTAGAACATTTTACATAAAACTAATATGATTAGCTTTGATGTTCACATAGGTAATTTTTTTTTTTTTTTAATTTAACTAGGAAACACATTTAACGAAATGGCCAAGTGGGTAAAGCGGGACAATGAAACAGGGATTTATTACGAGACATGGACTGTCCAAGCCAGCCCAGAAAGAGGGGCGGAGACATGGTTTGAATCCTACGACTGTTCTAAATTCGTGTTACGGACATATAAGAAGTTGGCTGAACTTGGAGCAGAGTTCAAGAAGATAGAAACCAACTATACGAGAATATTTCTTTACAGTGGAGAACCTACCTATTTGGGAAATGAAACATCTGTTTTTGGGCCAACAGGAAATAAGACTCTTGCTTTAGCCATAAAAAAATTTTATTACCCCTTCAAACCACATTGGTCAACTAAGGAATTTCTCTTCAGTATCTTGCAAATTTTTGATGCAGTGATTATACACAGAGAGTTCTATTTGTTTTATAATTTTGAATATTGGTTTTTACCTATGAAATTCCCTTTTATTAAAATAACTTATGAAGAAATCCCTTTACCTAACAGAAACAAAACACTCTCTGGTTTATAATATTTTAGTTCTACTGCTCTTTTTTCCTTTTATCACCAGCATATGTTTTTCACGGGGTGACTTTACATTTGTGGATTTCTTAGGCCTTTCTACCTTGGAGCAGAAATACACCTGGGCAGAATTGCCACGTACCATCTCAGGACTATTTTTGGAGAGAAGCTGAAACTTACTGCACTGGTCAAAGTGAGCACATTAGGTGATCTTGGTTTCAAACTCCAAGCCTTTCTTAATATGAATTACAGTTCATATCAGATATATAGGATCTTTGGACCCCATTTTTTTTTTTAATTGTGGATATGGTGTACCAAGATTTTTTTAATACCCTCAGTGACATTTTCATGATGGGAGGTATTTTTTTCTGGTATAGTAGTTATGCATTTTCATTTAAGTACTTTTTGGTGGTTTAGACGGACTTTACAGCTTTTGTAACTTTTGGGACCAGGCCTAGTATGATTTTGTTCTGTTCACTTAAAGACCAATCTGGACACCGTAGCTGCAGCTACTCGTGCTTCTGGATGAGGTAAAAACAGTGTTAAAGAGCACAAGTTTCTAGCTAGCATTTTAGAATTAGCCAGTAACTGGCATTTTGTGATTTAGGCAGCTTAGCATCTCTGAACCTTAGTGTCCTTATGTCTAAGATGATACATCTGTCAGGATTGTTGTAAAGACTGAAGCCATGTATGTTTGTCATAGGAAAGTTACAGTAAATGGTCGCTATAATGATGAGTCAAAGAACAAAGTGCCATCCTCGACCTGGTCTAATGTAGTTTAAATGCCAACCTTTCCTGGGGTTTATAGTAATTCCCTAGACTTTGAGCTGACAGTTGAATGCTTCTGCAATTCTTCAAACACAGGGGACACAGGAGTATGACTGCAGGTGCATCTGGGTGAACAGGCACCCTCAGACTCCTCTACTCTTCTTGTGTGCCTTCCACCCAGTAGAGATGCCCACACAGAAGAGGGTACACTTCTCAGATGGGACAGGTTTTTGTCAAGGATCTCCAAGTAGCTGTGCTTCCATTTAGGGCCATCAAACAAGGTTTCAAGGTCCTTTAAATGTTTGATGATCAACTGAACACTGTCTATTCATGGAAAAAACACCAGTCAGTAAGATGATGAAGCAGAGACAATCTGTTAAATATGTAAACTATGTTATTCAGTTTCTACTAACATTTGAGTGCCTCCTGAGAGGTTAGTTAGGTTATCATTGAGTTCTCCTACAAAGCCCAAACATAGGTATTATTTACCTGACCCAAATGAGTAAACTGGGGCTTAGGTTAAATGACCTTTCCCTGGCTACCCAGCTAATGGTAACCGAGCCACATTTTGAACCAGTTCTGTTGACTGCATGGCAAACAATATCAAGCGAGGTTTCACCGTTACTCAAAATGTAGTCCTCAGACCAGTGCCCACACCACAGGTTACCAACACCGTAGGTTACTGGTCAAGTACAGATACGGATAGGAAACATTCAGAAACTTCTTTTAAAGCAACTTATTGGAGTAATTTTGTTTCTCTTGAATCTAATAAAAAAAAATTGCTTGTATTTTGTATGTCTTTATTTCATTTGTCTAGGAATTAATTTTTATTGTCTTTTTTAAAACTATAGGCACTACACCAGTCTGAAAATAAAAACCCAGCCCTTCACCAAAGATAACTTGAGAAGCCCTGCATTACTCTGCTTACTGCAGCACAAAGGCAAAGTCTTGCTAAAATACATGGGGAGAACTTTGTTTCACTGCCTACCATTTAGCCTATGTACTCATGTTAATAGTGCCTAAACACTCCTAATTAATTTTGCCTCTTTAACCTGCTAGTTATCCTCAGAAGGTCACAAACGTGGATCTTTGCGTTATCACCACCTAGTGGCTGAAATGGGGCAGTGCCAACTTTTACTAGATACTTAGGAAAATTCATCTGGAAAACAGAATTCCGGATTTTCTAGAACTGCAGTGGGGAAACAAGCAAAAACTCTTGTGCCACATTTGTGTTAACTCCAAAGCACAGAACTTGATTCTGTAGCAAAGACAAATGAGGACGCCTGGATGTGGAACTTGAATTTTTATTGTATTTTTCAGTTCCTAAGAGTATTTTAACAAATGAAGGAATTCTGTGAGAATAATTGGTAGACTCAGGTGACTACAGCACAGAGCATAAAAATCACATTAGTACTTAAGAATTTATCAAACTTGTCAACTGTACTTGTAAGATGAAGTAATCCTTTTGGAGTAGAGATGGAATGAACATGCTTTCAAAATGGTAGTTTATGGCCAGGCAGGAATTTGCCAATTAAATTTTGCTGCCCTTTGATCTACTATATAACTTAAATGTGATTTCTATTTTTCTGTTATGAATGTATAAACTTTCCTCCATTTCTATGAGAAACCATTTTGTTGAAGTTTGATTTAGGGGCTTTAGAATAAATATATCCTCCCTTACTAATTCTGGCTCAGTATTCAGTAAGTATACCCACAAAGTGTCATCAAATGTATTTTAATAATTACTTACAGGAAAACAGTCAAAAGATTAAAATACATATTTGGAACCCTTGATATTGGCTTCTTTGAAATCAGGGAAAAAAATAAAAGCCTTAAGAAACTTCATCTAGTTTTATAATCTGGTCTGGTGGTACTAAATGAAGTTTTTGATCTTTTTTTTTTTTTTTAAGAAATTGTTGGTATGTTATACGAAGAACAGTGTTCCAAAACCATACACATGCTTTTCCCTGTTCACAGCCAAGGCAAATGGGCTGGCCGAAGTTTGTTTCCAGCATCTTCCTATTTACCCTTCATTGTCCAAGTAGCTTCCTGTGCTCTCAAATTTGCCTATCTACATTTTCTCTCCCCTACTTAAAACAATATATTCTTTTACTGGACTGATTATTCTAAGGATAAGCTCTTGGTTGTCTTTTGGAATAAAGGGCTTTGTGTCTGTTTTTAAGTCCTATATGTCCTTGTGTTTAAAGGATAGTTGGGTGTCAGAAGCAGGTAAAATTCTTCTGGCTGCTTGGTAACAGTAAAATCTCAGATAAACTGAAGCTGGAGTCTACAAAGATTGTTCCCAGTTATGTATGGGGTACAGATTACAGCTTCTTAAAGGACATAGTTCAGGCCTAAGCCTTCTTCACACCAACCCCACCCCTCCCATTTATCTATTCTAAGCTTTTCTCTAAATATAAAAATTTCTCTGAATGCAGTAAATTGATTTAATCTTTAGTCATGCCTGTTTTTTTTTTCCTGATAGTATTGTTAAATAGCCCAGATTACGAAGGGAAATTGAAGTTATTTTCTAGAAGCTGTGAAGACAGGAAATGAAAATCATTTCAATAGTTTAGAAACTATTCTGGTTGGGACACCTGGGTGGTAATAAAGTCTGTTAAGTGTCATACTCAGGTTGTGATCTCAAGGTCATGAGACCGAGCCCCAGGTCAAGCTGAGTGGGGCTTTGTGCACAGCACAGAGTCTGCTTAAGGCTCTTTCTCCCTGTGCCCCTCCCCTCAGCTCTCTCTCTAAAATAAAGCTTAAACACAACAAGCTATTGTGACTGTATGGATTTATAGAAGACATGTCTCTATGAAAAGGCTACCTGGGTTTAAGGACTTTTAAGAATTCTATTTCAAAATAATCTGTTTTATAATTCTTATTCTAAAAGCAGAGTCTATTCTTTTTAATTTAACCATTTTCTTTATAAAATTTGAAAAATAAATGTACATTTCACAGTCAGTTTTTATTTCCTATCACTTTAGTCATCAGAGTTTATTTCAAGGATAGATTCCATTTGCCTAATCTTACATCTTACCATAAACTTATTTAATATTAAACACTGTATTTATCAAATACAAATTTGAAACTAAAACCCTAAATTTGTATGCACTTGTTGGAAAATCAAGTACATTTGTTAGGGTAGTTTTTAAAAATTAAAATAATACAACAGCATTAGTAACTATCTTTATTCTCAAATTGATAAAAGCATTTAACATATACTTTACAGTATAAACAAAGTAAGTGCTATGCATTTTGGTTATAAAGTGACAAAGTATTTCAAGCATTATATAATTTAATTTGTACAAAAAAGTAAATTTCCAAATAAAGCTTTGGTTAGTAGAACTGATTATGTACTGTCAAATCCATTTTCCAAAGTTGTTCAAGGAAAAAAAGCTTCATCCACTAACACAGGTATTTCTTGTACAAAGCTATTTACTATTAGTGAGATGGGAAAATACTACAATAATTGCTTTTAACTTCCAAGTCTGGATCAGCCTTTTTTCTTCTCATTTATAATGTGGCCAGAATACCATGACTTTTGAAAAATCACCTTTTACTTTATTCTTAGGAAGGTAATCTATTTAAAAAAATAGATTAGATCTGTAAGACTGTTTCCATAATTACCAAGATGCTTTCTAAAAGTTTCAAGCATTAATATATTAGTCCATTGGGGTAAATCACTTCTAATTTCCCTTAGGAAAGGTATTATCTACTAGCACTAGTGCTCAGAATCAAAGCTTATATAATACCTAAAAAAACTAAATGTAACCCAAAACTTAATATTTTTACAGCAATGTGTGGATAACCTTTATTCATATGAAAGTAATAAAAATGCTACCTAACTTAAATAATATAAAATAGCATTTTAACCAAATGAAAATCACAAAACTTCAGACATTTTTCTATTAAAATTTTCCAGTCCACTGAGAATATTTACTCAAAAATATGATTATGAACTTAAATATATCCTCTTTTAAGTTTACTTGTTTATGCTGAACTGTACAATTGGTGCTCCTTTTATGATTTAGATAAGCTCTACTTATATAACTATTTAATTCCAAAATGGAAAAATGAGCCATCACTAAAATTCACTGGAAATAATATTCTTTCATGGAAATAATTTATAAACATTTTAAAGTTCTACTTTAATTACTTTAATTTGGCTTTAGCTTTTCATTTCAATTATTGTATAATACTTCAAAACTAGCTTTAACAAAGATAAAACCAAGGAGAACTGGTAAAGCATTCCTTACTTTACACTGGATGCCTCAAAGTGTCGCATACATAGTAACATCACAGAAAAGAATTTATATGGTTTAGCAGATTATAGAGCAAACCTGAAAGTTTATACAAAGTTAAACACTGCCTCCCTTCCTGTTTTTTTCTTTTAATTTGATCTTGGCTCTGTTTATTATCCCTCTATAATAACCACTGTGACACTTCCAGTTTTCTAAGAGATCCAATTACTTACACATACCTCTTTAAACAGCTCTGTAACATATTTCAGAACATTCAACCAATCTCTTTAATTTGGTACGACATATCCTACATTTTTTCTCACAAAATGCTCTGTCCTGAGCTATATTAAACACCTTATAACAGGTGTATGTATAACTGAAGACCCTAAAATGTCAAGTTTACATTTTTAAAAAAATGCATAGAGAACGTAACTTTGGAAAACCTCTTAGTACTCACTTCTCAGAGACTAGTATAGGTTTTGTTTCTTTCAGACTGTTAATCTTCATAACTGGTTATTACTTTCAGATCTGAACCACATTTTAAAAGATTTTTTCTGAGCTTTGATTGCTATTAGGCTAAAGAAAGAGATGGAAGTTTTCTGACCGAAACTGGTCCATAGGTCTTCCAATAACATCCTTACATATTCAATGCAGGTATCAAATTTCCATGCCACAAAATAGAATTACATCAGAACTACAGGAAATAAACTCTTATTATAATACAATATGCTTAATGTTAAGGTGCTATTCATCATGCCCTACACATCATTCGGTCTTTACCAAGTAGGCATCATGTCTGGAAACCACACCCTACCAAGATGCTTGGACACCTCCCAATGGATCTGCTCCAAACTATATTTTTGGTCAGGAATTAATACTTCTTCCATAATGGATAACTGAGACAGGCGGCCACCACACATCTTCACAAACTCAACAAAGGCACTACATGAGACTTCACATTCCCCTAGTCCAATAGCTGACAAATTTTTACAACGTTCTGCAATGCGAATTAACTCTTCATCAAGTGGCCGTAATCCATTAGCACATACTACTAGTTCAACTAGTCTAGGGCATGTCATTCCCACACGGCCAAGCACATCTTTGCTTACTGATCTCCCAAAGTAAAGATGGGTGGCAGGTATCTCATACCGAAAGAAAGGATCAAATTCCTCTTCATATAAAAAAAAATACATCACTAAGTTCACTTTTGGTGAATGTCTGATGAAAGCATCCCAGCTGCTCTTCTGAATAGTATGGAAGTGTGTCTGTCCAGGATTCTCACTAACCACATCAATGCGCAAGTGTTCTAATCGGACGTGTTTTTCAGAAGATAAAGCAAGCAGCAATTCATCACTTAACAAGTGGTAATTCAGGGCCAGTTCACGTAAGCCATGACATTGATCAGCCACACAAAGGATACCTTGAAAGAAAAAAAACCTAATTATTTACAAATTTTTGTATAAATTCATCATCTGTTCAAAAAATTTAATCAAGTACAGGTCTCACAATAAAGGTTTACCATATTTCCCTATCACAAAGCTATA